TTACAAAGTTACAAGTTCTTAACGTGAGATGGGATCTCCAGAATTCCATACCGAGCTCTCACTGAACATACGGGGCGTTTCTTCCGTAAGGGTTCCTACTCGAGGGCTGACGTACCCTTGAGGAAGTTTTTCCAAATTACCACATGAAGAGTAACATTTTCTGGGTTGTAACGCCGTGTAGTTGAGAGACGAACGTTTCGAAAGAACATATCACGTCCATCTTCAAGGTCGAAGAGTCAGCTACGCGAGGAAGAAGCTTACCGCTTTCCGCTGCTGGTTTCTTGCTTGGCTCAACTCTTTGACCCTGAAGATGGAGGCGATAAGTTCCTTCGAAGCATTGACCTCTCTCCGAACTACACCGTGTTACAACGCAGAAGACCGCATTCATCATTGCTACCGCCATGAAAACCTAAAAATCCAACAAAAATTTCCACACGATTTAATACTCAGTAAGTGGAATTTTCCCGGCACCACTGAGTTAACCCGCTCGATACCGTGTGGCTGAATGTCCATGGAAAACAATCTCCTTCTGCAGTGTGATTATGTTCTAGAGTCTAGACAGATCACCAGCAGCGGTGAAAAGTGTGAACTGGACACAGCTTGAAGTTGCGTCGTCACCGAAGCCGTGTGATGGCTTATCTAATGTTACGTGGTGATCTCTGAATTATCATTAATTAGTTAATGGTTTCGAAGGAAGTGTTGTCATCTGTTTTTAGGTAGCAGAGCACCGCATACCTGGATGGGTCGATAAATACCACAGATGATTCAGTTACAATAGCCAGACTTATACCCTGAAGATGGTGGCGACACAATGCTCCGAATCATCTGTAAACATGTACCAGGAGAGAACACCGGCGAGTGATATTCATGTGTTGTGATGAATTATAGAACGATACGTAACCGCTTCATGGACACTACCGAGTATACTCGTTGCTTCAGACAGCCTCATGCCTGTGGCCATCTGAATTATAGTGCTGAATTACTCACCATAAAGAGCGCCTTCATAATTTGTTTTCTTGGCCAAATATTATTAAGCTCGTCAAATCACGAAATATGGAATGGGATGGGCGTGTAGCACGAATGGGAAGAAGATAATTGCATAGGAAATGATGGTTGTGAATGGTTAAGAAAAGAAATCACTTGAAAGACCTAATTGTAGATGGGTGGGTGATATTAAAATAAATCTGAAATTAGGGTGGGAGTGTGTGGACTATATTCATTTGACTCACCATAGAGACAAGTGGCAGGCTCTTGTGAACACGCTTATGAACCTTCTGAATTTGTTGACTAGCTGAGCAGCTACAAGCTTCTCGAGAAGGATTTTGCTCTTTGGAAGTATGAGTAATTAAGGCGTGCTGTTATGAACAAGGTAATGAACCATGGGGTTCCATAAAGTGCAGGAAATTTGTATACTAACTGAGAAACTACTGCCTCAAGAAGGAGTGGTATTAGTCAGTTTCTTCAAGATTCACGGAACGTGAGTGAAATAACATGTGTACAAAGGGTATGTCGGTTATCTGTGAAGTTCTCCAGCCTGTCAGACTGCTTCGACCTCGAGCACAAATGGCTTCTTCAGAACTGGTTTAGTAGAGCAGCCCGGGGAATACCCGACACATACGGTAATCAGGGCTGGAAATGAGGGTAGATGAGGGTCGACACCGTCTGGTTTGTTTCAGGGCGCTCCATTTTCAGCAAAATATTTCCAAGGCCACCCTCCCCGACCCGTATTTGCGGCCTCCTTTTTAAGCAAGGTTTACCCTGAATACCCCCCCAACCTTTTTCTTTTTTCAGTAGCTGATAGAGTTAACAATAAGAATTTATGAAGAAACAAAGGCTTAAGACACACCGTAAGAACAAGGAATAGGCGATGAGCAGATAGACCGAACTTGCGCGCACAAGGACATCTGCTAGTCCATGCGTCCAAGCATCTGGTGTTATTTTCCAAAAGGGCAGAAAATGATACTTCAAGAAACCCACTGAGTTTCTTTAGAAATTGAGAATTTTACTTACAGCGGCAAGACACTTTGAGAATTCGAGAAGTGGCAGTGTCTACCAGCCGTAAGTCAGAAGTGGAAGTGCCAGGAGATCATTAGCGACCCTTCATAAGTTGCATCGCTGTCAATTTCGCCTTCTGGTCTTTTAGGGCGAAATTCCCTTAAAAACAACCCGTCATTGGCCGGAACCAAAATTAAGCCAACTCCCCTTATTTGAATAGACCTATCAGGGAAATTATAAGGAGAGGAGAATAGGCAGATACAACTCAGTTAGGACCTCTGGATCGGCAGAGAGGTCAGTCTAAGATTTTAGTCGTCTATCAACTTTAGAACTTAGCGGAGGCAAACCCCGCATCATACGCGCTAAAAGATAATTCTAAGAAGTACAAATTTTTGCTCATTCCATAAGCGGACGGGTATAAGTTGAGCTGATCGAGTGCATTTTCGTGTAAGTGTAACACCAGCGGCTTGTAAGCCGAAACTAAATCAGATTGTGTGAATTTACACAGCCGAGTGCCTTTAAGAAGAACAATAAAGTGTTGTGGTGGCACAGTGAATTGTGTTAATTAGAGGTGCTTCGCCCTCACTTGTCCGAGCCTGACCCGTATCCGACCTGAAGAGAGACTCATCTCCACTGTCCAGTCAAACCCACCGTCAGCTTTCACATGAACCGTAAACAGTCTCTAGCTGTTTGCTGGCGCCCATACTATCAGATCCAATCCTGAAATCCAACCCCAAATAATTTCAACTGAAGGAAGAAGCGGTGGAGCCGGTTTAAGCCGAAACCAGCTACGACCTAGCAACTTCAGCAGCGGCAACACCAGGTAGGGCAGCGTCAAAATGGTCATCGGAGCAGAGGAGCCGATTGCCATCGACTCCCACCCCCTGGACTACGATTCAGAGGGAGCCGCAGGCGGAAAGTAGGAGGGACGGTTACAGAAGATTAAGTGGAGCCCAACGCAAGGGCACTAAGAGGACAGTTATAAGTGGGCCAAACAAAGGGGCCACACAGAAACAAAGTGAGCATTGCAATGTATGAGGCTGGCGGACCACGTGCCCCTTAATTTCAACAACAAAATGTCTACGGCTGCGGTGTGCTTGGACATCGAAAAAGCTTTGATACCACGTGGTCCTCAGGTTTACTGTGTAAGTTATCAAAGTTGGAATTCTCGAAAAGTTTGACCATTGGGTCCATTCTTTCTAAACGTAAATTCAGGGTTTCGGTTGAAGGCGAACTGTCAACCCCAAGGGAAATGCAAGCAGGGGTGCCACTAAGTTCGGTCCTTTTCCCTACTCTCTTTAATTTGTATATAAATGATGCCCCCCAAACACAAGGCGTTCACCTGGCCCTCTTTGCAGACGACACCTGTCTGTATGCGACAGATCGCAAGGAGGGTTTTAATGTTAGAAAACTCCAGCGCGGTCTCAGCTCAATGGAGACCTGGTGTGAGCGCTGGAATATAAAAATTAATGAAGATAAGACTCAGGGGGTCTACTTCTCTCGTGGTCGTCGACCGCCTGAGTCTTGTCTTATTCTAAATGGACGAAATATTCCATTTGTAAATAGTGCAAATATCTAGGTGTAATCTTCGATAAGAGAGTGACTTGGAGATTACACATAGAAATGATCGAAGTCAAGCCCTTCAGAACATTCATTAGGGCATATTCCCTATTCAGAAGGGAGCGATTGAGCGCTAACACTAAACTGACCCTCCACAAAGCTCTTATTAGATCCGTAATGACTTAAGCTAGTCCCGCCTGGGAATTTGCGGCAGACACCCATCTAGTGAAATTGAAGCGCCTGCAAAACAAGGTTCTCCGCACCATTGGCAATTTTCCAAGGCGCACACCGGTCCGCCCAGGCCTTTTTCGTATTTACAATAATTTTTTCTACAATAAAATAAACAATAGAAAATCCCCACGGTCGTAAATTTCGGGTTTCTAGACCGGAAATTTTGACATATAGTGCAACAATTCTAGCAAGGTAGAAGAAATATGATGGCCGTATACAGCCGAATCATGTAATGTGGAAGAAGGGGGACTATACAGGATGTTTCACGACTTTAGGGTATAACTGCAGGAGGTGATTTCCTAGGTCTCTGTGATCAAGAAAGTTCATATAAACATGTCTCCGATTTTGGACGGTTACGGAGTTATGACCGTTTTCAACTCAGAATAGAAGGTAACGATTACTGACAATAAACGGAACAAAATAATAAACCAGCATGGTACATGATACATTTAAAGTATGAATGTAAAGTTAACTTCGTGAAATTACCTTTAATTTGAATTGATTGGCGCTTAAAGCTGATTTTCGAAAATGTCACCGCCGGCCGCAACACAGGCTGTCGCTGGGTTGTGAACCGCACCGGACATACCAACCCACCCCGCCTTAGGTAGCTCTCAAGTGTCGAGATAACAAGAACCCTCTGTCTGTAGCTGGCTAAAAATAGCGACCTGCCAGCTGACAGACGCGGTTCATACGAGGGCGTGTACAGGAATGAAAAAACAGTCATATCTCCGTAACCGTCCAAAATCGGAGACATGTTTATAAGAACTCTTTTGATCACAAAGACCTAGGAAATCACCTCCAGCAGTTATGCCCTAAAGTAGTGAAACACCCTGTATAATAAGATGCATTTAAGACAGAAATATATGTGGTATAAGTGATATATTAATGCAACAAGATGCCAAGATACGATATTAAGAAAAAACGCTGGGTGTCTCCGTTTTTCTCTGACAATTTAAACTGACGCACTTATATTGTTTCGAAAGAACTTAACCTGTTTCCAGACTACTTCGTCTCATGAGAAATTCTTTCCCAAGCCATATCTATTTTATTCTTCCTAACATAGTCTGGGTGGCGTTTGGCGTAGGTGCCAGGCTCCTGCTCAATTAACTGCACCAAGCTTCGGGCCATCTGAAGAAACAGATGAATTCCTGACGCGCGTTATAGAACAGCTGACAAGGAAACCACGCGGCAAAGAAATTGGCCGAACACCGGAGTGTGAATTGTGTGTTGTATCTTAGTGAATTAGGATTCCAGTCTTATGCGATTTGTTGTCAGAAAGTAATAAAATGGGTGAATATGGTAATGAAAATATGGTCAGGGACTGGCAAAGCGATCCCAAGAAACTTGGAAATCCTATAAAGCCAATTGAGGTTAGTTAGTCTTTTACTTATTAGCCCTGTGCTCTGCAACTGTGAAACAAGTTTTTTTTTTTGAAAAGCTAATAGTCGCTCAGCTAGCTAAGACATTTCCAGTCTGTAATATAACCCCGGAGCTTGTTATTATTGAATTGAATTGAATTTATTTACATTCTATAAATCCTAAGTAGGTTAGTACCTTTGGATACAGAACAAGTCAAAAGGTTACATACATAAGTACAGGCAATTTTAGCTTAAAAANCATTTGTTTGAGATCCATTTTAATGTTATCCTCCCATCGACTTATAGAACTTCAGGTGGTCTCTCCCCCATTCCGTTTTCCGACCAAAATTGTGTATGTATTTCCTGACTCTTCCGTGTGGACTGTGCTCTGTTGATCTCATCAGCCTTGCTTTGATTAACGCAATAATATTTGTTGAAAAATGAAAATCATAAAACCCTTCCTGCAAGTTGCTTCTGTTTGTGCCCCGATATTTTCAACACCATATTCTCAAACGCCCTCAGTCAAACCTTAACGTTATTTAAGATCATATAAAAGTGTAAGTACAGTTACTATTATTATTATTATTATTATTATTGGTGGGAAAGTCAGAAGGAAAGAGACCACAGGGAAGACCAAGGCGTAAGTGGGTGGACAATATTAGAATGGATAAATCTGGCTCAGGATAGGGACCAGTGGAGGGCTCTTGTGAACACGGTGATGAACCTTCGGGTTCCATAAAATGCTGGGAAATTCTTGAGTAGCTGCAGAATTGGTGGCTCCTCAAGAAGGGCTCAGCTCTGTGAGTAAGTAAGTAAGTAAGGTAGTAGTAGTAGTATAAGCTTTATATTTTGTGACAGGAAATGCAAAGACAAAAAAAGGGTGCTGAACTGAATGGTGGCAAGCATTCTCCAAATATGATCTGTGTGTAATTTCTTTGTAATTGGTGTTTTCATTTGCTACTGTTATTTCTGGATATCAGAATTTTGCCACATTTTTCAAGTATTTATAGGTATCTTATGATATTATTCTCTGTCGTAGTGATGGGACATGAATATGTACTTATGTTGCTTCGCATTTGTGTCTGAATTGTCCCAGTAAATTAACATCAGCAGCAGAAACCAGCATTTAATGTGACCCTTTCAATTCCAGTCCTTCCTGTTTTTCTGGGACCTTGGTAATGCCATGTGCTATAAATCAGTGGTGATAAAGAATGAGCACAACATTTTCTCTGAACTCATATTTTTGCAGGAAAAATGGAAATTGGTTTCAGCATTTCTTACGGTGAAAGGTTTAGTGAAACAACATATAGATTCTTTCAATTATTTTGTCAATGTTGAAATCAGGAAGATCGTCAAAGCCAATGAAAAAGTTTGCAGTGATGCTGATCCCCTGTTTTATGTAAAGTAAGTACTGGCATTCTGACATAGTATGTATTTAATTTCATATACATGCTGAGTGAAAGGTGTATGATGTTGCACACCAATGAAAAACAAGTTATCATTAGTAATAAACTCTGTGGTAGAACCAAAAATTTGAAAGCCCATGTGCATTGATTATGCAGGGCTCCAGCTATAATGCACACATATTATAATAGACATGATTATTATTCAGTTTTTGCATTTCAAATTTGAATTATCAACTTCAGATTTCTCTTAGTAAGATTCAAATTAATCTCATTAGCTTCTTGCTAGGGCCAGTTGTCTTCAAGATATCTCCTCGACATGGACCACACAGAAAACACAGCCTCTCTGTTGTTGAGGAATGTTTACCGCGAGTACATGTTTACTGAGCCGATGCTTAGAAACGGTTGCATAATGCTGTTGTTCTATTGTGTGCATTACATAGTAATGGCTGCTGTATACAGAGTCATCTCTTAGCAATGGGTTTTTACACCACAGTACATTTTATGTGATTCCTGCACTTTATTGCCTTTTTATAGTTCATTGTTCTAGAACTTAGTTAAAACAAGTTTTAATTATTTTTTAATTCAACGATAATCCAAAATAGATAAACTTTATAAATATCTAATAACTCAGAAATAGCGTTGAGTGTTTATATTGAGATAGGCACAGTCAGTTTTATACTCTTGTCCAAGTAAAATTAAGTCAGATCTTGCCTAATTCACTGTTCTCTCCACATTTTCTGTTTTTTGTTAATATAATGTGCACTTATAGTATAGATATTTGTAACTGATTTGTGTGCTTCACCAAATGATGACCATTTAGGGTTGAAAAATATTTAGTTGGAAATAAAAAAGAATTAAGTTTTTGAGCCTGAGTTTGTGTGACAGTTAATCTTATGGCTTTGAAGTAAACAAAAACAAGGATATAGTCTTGTAAAAAATTCCTGAGGTCTCTTATTTCTGATAATAATTAAACTAAGTGTCCTCCCGCCTGCATTAATAGGTCCCCATGTGTATTAATGTAGATTTTATTGAAACATAGTTGAATATGCTGTTACAACTATTGCTAAATTAAAATTTAAACTTTTTTCCCCCAAAGGTAATTAAGCAAATGGGAGTGAACATGCCAGAATTGTTGCACTGCACATATGTTTCCTAACTTGTTAAATAATGATGTGATATCATTATATGACTGATTGCCATAACACTTATCTTCAGATAGGTGGTAGCCTCAAATGTTATAGCTTTTCTATTTCACATTCTGAGATAGCAATTAGGAAGCACTAATTTCATACCAACCCCTGGTTGTTTTGTTGAAGATATTTGTCACCTCACTGTGACTTTGTTTCAGATACCTGAATGTAAGTGTAGGTACACCAGATGTTGAAGAAGCATATAATATTTCGAAGTCTACAACCCCACATGAATGTAGGCTTCGTGATTTGACATACTCAGCTCCTATCACAGTAGATATAGAATACACACGTGGGAACCAGCGGGTTGCAAGAAATAATCTGTTGATTGGCAGGTATGATTAATTTTCATAAAATATTTGGCACAGTGCTAACTTTTTGTTACTCTGTTATGTTGTGAGATCTTTGTTGCATTCAGACTGAAAGTACTGAAGTTTGTCTCATGACCAGATCTGTATAACACTTCAGATATACTTAATATTTATACATACATACATATCCTTTATTTTCCATAAATATCCATACAGGCAGCAGACCCAGGATGTAGAAATAGTCATATCAAATATATACACAAGGTCACATAATGAAGATCACCCACATTAACTAATTAACACATACAGTAATATTAGGTAAAAAGATAATATCTTTGTAAGATTTGAGGCTTTCATGGCGGTGACNTAATATCCTGATTAACAGACATAATTTGAAAGTAACTACAACATAGCTTGAATTAATATAACTCTTCACATCTCCTATACTAACTGTATTAAAATACAGTGTTAAAACATTCAAATTTATGTACATTTATAATTAAAATACTCATTTAATGCATAAAAAGAGTTAGCATGTAAAAATCTTTTTAGGGAACGTTCACAGGATTTCTGGTTATTGGATAATTGTTTGAGCTCTTTAGGCAGATGATTGTAGATTTTTATACCCGAATAATATGCACCCTTCTGAACTTTAGGAAGTGAAGTACTCGGGGGGGGGGGCTAAATCCGAAAAGTAGGGAGGATGGGGAATAATAACCATGTTGTTAGTCACAAACTGTGGCTTTCAGGGATGTGTGGGGAGGCGTGTTTTTGTGATGAAGGAGAAATGCGGTGCATGTTCAAATTTTCTGGTAAGATCTCCTGGCAGACTCCATAACTGATCACAGCAGTCTCTACAAGCTCATGGATTGTTCGGCGACGGTCTTCGTGGTTGAGTTCTAGAATTTTTTCAACATTTTCTGTCATTTTTCTGGTGCTTGGTCACCCTGAATGTTCATCACCTGCAACTGACACTCAACCAGCCTTGAAGTGTGAATGCCATTCAAAAAGCGCTGTCCAGTTCAAAGAATGTCCTCCAAAAGCCTCATGAAGCATTTCAAGGGTTTCGGTAGCAGATTTACAGAGCTTCACGCAAAACTTGATGCGGACACGTTGCTTGATTCTGCCATCCATTGCAGACAAACATGAAGTAGAGAAAGGACTTACATAGAAACAGTGCATGTTCACAGCCCAGTGTCACATGGCAGACTGATGCAACAGGCTTTCAGAAGTGTGACCTTGGCCCCCCCCCCTCTCATCTTCTTTCACTGATGCAGTTACAGCAATAAGAGTCCCGGAACTTTCCGATAGCACCTTGATGTGTAGTTTGTGAGATTTGAGGTTCTTACTATGAAGGATGCTGTTGTCTGGAATGTGACACCACTGAGAAATTCACTGGCATTCCAGTGAAATGTACTGCCCCCATTTTCAGGGTTCAGGAGTAAGCCAAGAAACCAGAAATGTCCTGACTGCATGCATGTTATGTCCATGGTTTGCTGTTTGTCCTGAAGGTGGAGCTAGTATATTTCTCTGGAACCTTGACAAACCTCTACACACTACACAGCAGTACATCCCTGAAGATAGTATGTCTCTTATTAAGCTGCTGGTTTTTTCTCTGAAAGTTGCTGGATTCTGTACTCTATATATATATATATATTGGTGTTGCTCTTTTATGTAGCCAACACAAGATACTGTATATTTCTGTGTGTTCTCTAGCTACAAATAAGTTTGGTAATAAACTGAATGTGTATTCTGAAGTACTCGTATGTTTCTTGCTTTGCAGAATGCCCATCATGCTGCGTAGTTCTAATTGTGTTCTCGCTGGCAAGTCTCAGTTTGAGCTTGCAAAAATGAATGAGTGTCCTCATGATCCTGGTGGTTACTTTATTGTTAAGGGGCAGGAAAAGGTGAGATTATTCAGTAACATTGTGCGCAACTGTATAGACGTGTGCATCTTTTTAATGGAACTAATTATTGAATTATATGTATATATATACAGTCTACTTTTTTTTTCTTTGGCACTACAGCCCCAGTGGGCCTAGGCCTACCTCCATGAACTTCTCCGCTCATATCAGTTTTTCTAGATCTTACACATTCGGTAGGACTCCTTGGGCGGGTGATCAGCTCATCACAAAGCTTCTACCTGTACACAAACACAGAAAAACGCACAAAAACATCCATGCCCTGAGTGGGATTCGAACCCACGACCTCGGTTTCCAAGCGAGCGAAGACAGTACATGCCTTAGACCGCTCAGCTACCGTGACCGGCCTGTACAGTCTACTTACTATGCCTTAATCCTGATGTAAACATAAAAAGAGAAAGCTATCCCTCTAAAAGGCCATGGAGAGGCCAGTAGGCTTGTGAGAGGTTGAAGCTCCCACATTTTGTAGATAATTGGCTCACAAATGACGGTGAGATTGTCAGCCTTACGTGCCAGCCGCCTTTTACCCCCAGGAAAATTCCTGGTACTCATTTCTGTCAGAGGCTGAGTAGACCCCAGGTCCATATTGCGGCTGGAAGGAGTAGGTAAATTGAAAAATCCTGTGGCCTCATCCAGACTTGAACCACAACCATCCAGTTTATAGCATAGTGCCTAAGCCAACTATACTACTGCATGCCCCAGCTGTAAACATGGGAAAAAATATTCTTCCTCCTGAAGCTGCTGTGACTGGCATATTTTCCTTTTGCCTCTCTCACATCAGAAAATTGCCCACTGTTGTACAATCAATATCAACATGTCGTGTACCAGTCACCATTGGACATGCTTTTCTACTACAAGGGCAGCAGACTCCAACTTTAATATATGATGTAATAACATGCAGTTATTATCAATAATAAAGACTACTAGAAAAATGAGTCACTGTGAAGTAGTGGATTTATTCCTGAAGTCAGAATCAGAATCAGTCAAAGATGTCACTAGAAGTTTCAACATCTCCAATGTTTATAACAGGCTGATTCATTACTTTACCCATTTCCCACACCCTTTGCTCTCTCTGGGTGCCACTTCATAGCAGTGACTCTCATAACCCTGCATTTACCAGCTGGCATGCCTCCCTAAGTTCAAAGATTTTGTCATGTCTGTCCATTTGATTGACTCCCTGCCATCTCGATAGATTTCAAGTTATGATGACCAGTTTAGAAACATCTTGGCCCGCTTTCTTCACATGTTGGTCTACAGCAGGGGTTGGTAACCTCTTTGTATGAGGAGGCCACACTGTCCAGAAGGGAAGGATTTGTTGGGCCATGTAGGTTTTATTGCAAAATGAAAGAAACGAAATGACTCACATAGGTTCGATTTGTTCATTCTTTATGAAATATACTGTTATGAACCCTCCAGAAGCTTCAGAACTGCAAAAAAATGTATCATGGCTAAAAAATTTACAAAATAGCAACTGAATTATAGCTGAATTTTAGTAGCAAGAAACTGGATAACTGTTTGGAAGGTGTTGATATGAGTAAACAGTGATGCATGAAGTCATCATTTATTCTTGAGTGAAACTTTGATTTGACAGATTTCATTCTCAAAATTGTTTGCTCACATACATAAGTGCTTCCAAATGCAGTCAGAATTTTTGGTCCAAATTTTTTCATGTTAGGAAATTTTGAATCTGCGAGATATTTGTAAAATTTGGCATTTTGTAGAATAGTGACTCCGTGTGTAACAAAGAAACTCTGTGTGGTAGCTGAGTATATTAACAACACCTTAACCTCTTTCTAAGTCAGCACATTTCTAAATTGAATTTTAAGTTCATTTCATTTCAGGCTTGAGTTAATGAATGTAAAAATTATTCACAGTGATGTTCAGTGTATTAGTACATCCTTTACATTGATAAATGTCCCGTTATACAGGTGATTCTCATTCAAGAACAGTTATCACGCAACAGGATGATAGTGGAGGAAGATCGTAAAGGAGGAATTCAGTGTCAGGTGACCAGTAGCACTCATGAGAAGAAGTCCCGAACCAATGTGATTGTGAAGAATGGGAAGTACTACCTGAAACACAACACTCTGCAGGATGTATGTATACTGATAGTTGGCAGAGATCAGCGAGCACTTCAGTCACTTCATGTTTCCTTCACTGAAGTGAAACCAGTGCTTTCTGAAAGGAGTTTAATGTTTTGCAGTTCAGATATGTTGTGTTGCCAGGGAACACTGGTTCTCATAGTGATATCTTTTCTGGAGAAACTTCATTCATATTGTCTTGTTTGTGGATTGTTTAATGGTGTGCTCAATATCAAAATTTTATAATGCTGAGTAGTAGGATGGCTTATGAATTGGAAAGGATTTGGAAGGAAGTGGTCATAGATTAATCGAGGTACTATTTCGGCATTTGCCTGGATGCACTGAGGAAAACTGCAAAATGCCCTGGTCAGGATAGGGTCTTGGCCAAGATTTCAAATGAGCTCTTTCTGAATGCAAGTTCAGAGTGCTAACTCTAGATCAAGCTCTTCAATTTTATGCATCTTATGGTGAAGTTTCCAATAGAGAATCTGTTTGCATCACACAGTGAAATTATTATTATATTTAATGGCAAATGTGGTTTCACCTGGTGACAGTGGTACTACAATAAGCCAGCAGACAGATAACACACATAATCACATTCAAACAAAACAGAGCACGTAAACATTAGTAGAAAAAAATAACATTAGTAAAAAATTAAAACATATAATTAACAAACAGCAATGAATGCATAATGTCTTCAGTTCAGAACCTTTTGTGTTATTTTCTTCTCTTTAAAACTTAAAGATTAAAATATGCATGTATTAAAATTTTGCATGTGGTTTTGTATGACTGTGAAACTTGGTCTCTGACATTGAGGAAAGAATATAGACTGAGGTGTATGAAAACAGGGTGCTGAGAATATCTGGATTGAAGAGGCTTCAAGTAGGAGAAAATTTCATAATGAGAAGCTTCATAACTTGTATTCCTCATCACATAACCAAATATATTTAGAATGATCAAGTTAAGGAGGATATGATGGGCAGGGCATGTAGCACAAATGGGAGAGAAGTGGAATACATATAGGATACAGGTGGGAAAACTAGAAGGAGAAAGACCGCTATGAACACCAAGATATAGGTGGGTGGATTTTAGGCACAACAGAACACTGTAGGTCACGGTGCAAGGGCCAAGAAGGCCCACCCCTTATACATTCATTCATTCATAGGTGGGTGGATAATATTAAAATGGATCTTAAGATAGATGGGATGGTGTGGTATGAACTGGATTGATCTGGCTCAGGATATGGATCAGTTGAGGGCTCTTGTGGACATGGTAATGAACTTTTGGGTTCCATAAAATGTTTGGAAATTCTTGAGTAACTGTGCAACTGGTAGTTTCTCAAGATGGGCTCAGCTCCATTGAATTAGTTAATTATTATGTGTTTAATTTATCAAGGAAATGTATTATTTACAGGACATACCAGTTGCAATCATATTTAAAGCCATGGGAGTAGTGTGTGATCAAGAGATTGTTCAGATGATTGGAACAGAAGATCACATAATTCAGCGGTTTGCCCCTTCATTAGAGGAATGTCATAAAGCAAACATTTTTACACAGAATCAGGCGTTGAGGTAATGGACTTCCAAGGATCGCTGATTCATAATTGAACCGTTTTGCTTTGTGCTACAACACATTTACATATAGGATTTTAGTTTCTCATAGCAGTTGATACGAGAAGTTCTGTCTTCTTGGATATAACTTCATGTCCATTGAAAGTCAACTGATTTTTTGATGGAGCTCTGCTTGCTACCTGCTTCATGCTAGTTTCTTGCATGGCTTAGTCTTCAACCCTGAAAATGGAGGTGACATGTTCCGTGAAACATCAGTTGACTTCCAGCAGACTACATGGCGTTATATTCCATTACATGACAAGAAAAACTAGAACTAAATTAAAAATTTAGACAGTTTGAGTTACATATATGAAATTCTAGAAACACTTGCATTGGCTTCTGATGTCTAACATTACCATGAAGATACATATTATCCCCATAGAAAATTTATGGAGATATTTACTCATATAAGTTATTTGGCCTGATGTTACTTCTCTTGTTCTGCAAGACAAAAGACAAGTATATCGTCCATATTGACACTATGTTCTTATTGCACAGAAGGTACAGAATACTTAATCCTGCTCTTTAATTATTTTTATGATTAAGGTAATATATACTCTCTCAAAATTTTAATAGTAAAGCATGTCGATTTTAATGTTTAAACTTATTCTGCTTTTATTGACCTGGAAAGAACCTTTGGTAAAGTTAATTGCATTAAATACTTTGGAAATGCTGACAGCAAATGCTTTACCTGATCATATCATTGGTGGTGTGCATATTGTAGCATACAAGCCTTGGTGAAAAAGAAGTTTGAGGAGATTGCATGAAGCAGCAACAGGCCACATGGCTGAAAGCTGGAATAGCATAGAACAGTGGCAGAATCTGGTTGGTTCTACAGGAGTGGTCAGTCATGGAACCCACGGTTACAGGCATGCTTCCGTGCATCAGATCCGTCAGCATGCAACCGTTGCAGTCCACGGATCTGAATGTTAATGTTTGCTAACATCCACGGATATTTTGAAGTTAGGCAATTCCATCAAGTGTAGTTTGAGTGGGAAAATTTGTTTTCCTTGTGTTGGTACCATACACCTCTAAAGTGTATTATTCTGCTTGACCGTTGCCATGTGGACAAGGGCCACAGAAGTTACGCAGATATAGTGTGGAGGTAGTAGAGAAGAACAATGCCTTCATGTTAACACATCCTATGGTTGGTGCTATGGTGGCAATGCAACAGTAGTAACTAATGTGTGTGAAGGCATGTTGAATAATCATTGCTAAACATTTTCTATTTTAGGTATTTGGGATCAAAGACAAAGCAGAAGAGATTTTTCTCCTCTGCTCCAAAGAAGTCACCAGTTGATGAAGCACGAGACCTCTTGGCTACAATGGTACTTGCCCATGTTCCTGTAAGTTGTTATGTGCTCGTAATTCACTGTTTAGAAGAATGAAATGCGTTCTGAAAAGTGTGTGCTGACATGTTTTGTTGATTATGTAACATTCTTCAGTAGTGAATTTCATAAAATGAGGTTGGCCTCAAATTTCAGCCTTAACTTTGAAATTTTTGTTTACATGTCTGTGGAGGTTGTGCCGTCAAAATACATTAATTCATTAAAATAAATAGAGAGTAATTTCAGACTTCTTGTGTGAGTTGCTGCATGTAATGTCTGAAGCAGTTGGACCTTCAAAGAATGTTCATGCAGTTTGTTTGAATCATGTGCTTATGCTTAATGAAATGCAAATACTTTTCAGCAACTTCTTGGATACCTTTGAGATTATTTCCCTGTATATATACCACCATCTGCTCACTAGTTTCAGCAACTGTAGGCAAAAATTTAAAAACAGAAAGTTACAAAACTATAATTTTACTTATTATTTTATATACGTGTGAAACATGGTCTCTTGCATTGATGGAAGCAGGAGAGAATTGCGGAATGTGGAGCTTTGTAATTTGTGCTCTTCTCCAGTTATTATCAGGGTGATGAATTCATGAAGGCTGAGGTGGATGAAATGTGTGACATGCATGAATAAATGAAATGAGATGCATACAGTTTCTTGGTCAGAAAAAGTGAAGGGAAGTCACCGTGTGAACGATGTAATGTTAGATAGTGAGTGGGTAGAGAACGTGTTAATATGGCTCAGGATAGGGACCAGTGATGGTCTCTTGTAAACCCATTCAGATTCCATAAAATGTGTGGAGTTAAGTGACTATCAGCTTCTCAAGAAGGGCTCTGCTGCATAGAGTTAATTGGTCAGGGAAACAGTGAACACAGGTGTTGTTAGAGGGTCAGTCATTTGCCTGCATCCACTCCCTACTTACATGTACATTTCTGTTGACACCAGTAACAAAGCATGAATGCAGACACAGAGAGCCTGTAGATGGAACGAAAGCCACAATACCAATAAGAACTGGAAAAGCATTCAGGGTGGAGTAGCTGCTGTGCAGATGGGTAGGGATGAATCTGTGTCCATTCTTTCCCTCACTCAGAATTTAGTTCACTCTGTGTTATGGATTTGCTGTAATTATTATAGGTGGAGAATTTCAACTTCAAAATGAAAGCAACGTATACAGCCCTGATGGTCCGCAGAGTCATTCAAGCGCAAGGTGATACAAAAGTGATTGATGATAGAGACTACTACGGAAACAAGAGGCTGGAGCTTGCTGGCTCACTGCTTGCACTCATGTTTGAAGATCTGTTTAAGAGATTTAATTGGGAAGTAAGAATGACATACATTTAATCTGTGTCTGTTATTTTAGAAACTGTTTCTTTTTTCTTGCATGGCAGTACATTTTGCAGTTGAATATACCGGTATATGAATAAAGTGACTGTATTTGCACAGCAAAAATGGTATGGAGAGGTCAGTTCTGACTTTCCGCACATTTGCATGTTTTACTTAAACATGTTTTGATTAAATTTTGTACTGAGCTAGAGGATCTGCACTGAAAATTTATCTGACAAATTGATTTTATTCTATATTAATCAGTAAGTTCTGATTTGCATGACACCCCAAATCAGACTTTATAAATTTTCTCAGAAATGGCTCATCATGCCAGAAATTTGTTTGTGGTATAATGTATAGTTTATATCAAGAATATGCTCTGGTTTAGAGCATTGCAAAGGTTTAAATAAGGTCATGGTGTTTTAAGGAATCTGCTACTTTCATCTTTGTGGTAAGATTTACATTTCTTATTGAAATTACTGTGTGTATCTGTGTGTGTGCGTGCATATTAAAGTAAGCATTTGCTAAACCTCACATGAAATTTAGTTGTTGACTATGTAATTATGAATAACATTTTTTTAAACATTCTCTTTGCAGTTGAAAATGATAGCAGACAAGAATATTCCGAAGATTAAGGCAGCTCAGTTTGACATTGTGAAGCACATGAGACAAGACCAAATCACAAATGGACTTGTGCATGCGATATCCACAGTAAGTTGACAAAAAATGGTGGACAATATTCACTTATCCTTCTCGCTTAATCTCTTGGCTGAAAATTCTCTGTGTAAATAACTTCACCAGAATTACTTCTCTTTATATAAGTTATATATATATATATATGTTAATGATTTTATGATATGCATTTTAAATGGTTCCCTCTTTAAATAGTCTAATGAAATTCAGTTCTTATGCCCTCTGATGCCCAGCCTTATATTTCATGAAAGACTTTCTGGGCAATGATTCAGCAGTACCCCTAAGTCAGTAAAGCAGCATCAGGTACTGTTATGGTGAGTGGCTTCATGAGGACTCAGCACTGTTTTCCGAGTGAGTCACTGCTTCACCTTGATGTTGACTTGCCATATAATTTTAATTACTCTGTAATTAATACAGTAGGATAACTGCAGATAAAGTTACTGGGGAAACAATAATTTGTGAATATTTATTTTGGGGTTGTGTTGGAGATGCTTCACTCTTGCTGCAAGAACTTTATATGAATACATTTCTGTTAGTAAATGTTTAAAGTAAGTACATGCTAACTACTTCCAGCACACTTCTCATTGAGAAGACAGTGGCTCTGTTGGTCAAGGAAGTCTCTGCTCTGTATGGGATCCGAAGGTTCATTGCCATGTCCACAAGGGTCCACCACTCGGCCCTATCCTGAAATATTTGAATCCAGTCCACACCCCCACACTCTGTTTCTTTAAGGTGCATTTTCTTTCCACTATGCTACAAGCCGGAAGGTCACGGGTTCAAGTTCCGATGAGGTCATTGGATTGTTTCAATTGACCTAATCCTTCCAGCCACACTATGACCCTGGGGTCGACTCAGCCTCTAAGAGAAATGAGTACCAGGAATATTCTTGGGTGTAAAGGCAGCCGGCGTGTAGGGCTAACACCCTTGCTGCCATCTATGAGCCGATGAAATGTGGGAGCCTCAACCTCTCACAACCTTATGGGCTTCCACGACCTGTTGCATAGATACCTTTACTTTTTTTTAAATACTTTTCTTTCATCTACACTTTGGTCTCCGATGGAAGTATAGTTTGTATAAATATTTGGTTACTAATTCTAGTACACTTTTTGGTTTTAGACCTTATTTACTAATTCTAGGAATTAACTAAGTTTTTCTTTCTCTTTATCAAAATTGATGACCCCACTTCTTTGAGTATACTGTGTGGGGCTCTTGATGTGTAGTCTTGTCATTACTCCGATGACAACCCACTTCTTCGGAACAGTTTGTTGGCCCTGAAAAGGACCGTGGTTGCTGAGATGCTTGATCGGAGAGGTAGCGCGGCGCGCGCCGGTAAGGAGAAAGGCTAATTACGGTGAATGGCTGGTGAAAGGCTAGTGAGCACGGTCGTAGGAGATATGAGGCAGTGGCTACACCAGATGCCCAGTGGGTCGGACAGTAACACGACCACCGGCGAGTCCAGGCGCGGTGCCCCAGTGAGTCGGATGTGAGAGCGCCGGAGGGCCGAGGCAGTCGTGCCTGGCACAGCCTGCCGATGCCTCTGAAGACTGAGTGCTGGCGATGAAGCCTGCTGGCTGATGTTGCTTGGTGTGGCTTGATCATAGACTGAAGTAAACTGAAGTGAACTGAATACTCGGCGTTGGAGCTGCCCCTTTTTATACACTGCTCGGTGGGGTGGAGCGAAACTCGAAATTTAGGAGGAAGAATTGATTGGCTAGCGTGCGTAATGACGTAGATGCGAGCTAGCAGCGATTGCAGTATAAATACGAACGTTTGAAGCAATCTGATTGGTTAGCGCGCGTGATGGTGAAAAGTGATGTGAAGAGCGAGCGTTGCAGAAACGCGTGATAATGTGGGATGTTCCCACATCTGCTTTAGGAACCATACAATTGTGCAACCCTTAGTGACTGACTTTGGCTGGCAGATATAGGTAGTCTGAATGGGTCTGAATCGTTGAAACACTTTTATATGTAGTTTACTAGATAGTTGGACATGAGATCTGTGTCATATTTCAGTGAACAGCTGCACTTCCACTTGAGTTGAGTGTAGTGCAGACATTGTTTAATGTAGGAGCAGTATATCAGTACAAAGTGTGAAAAGTTCTAGTAAACTTCATTCATCAGTAATCTGTCAGACAGTCCACAGTCTCTTCCAAAACAGTTCCTCCACTTAATGTGATCTAGAGCTTTCTCCTTCAAATGACAGTATCCTCTTCTGTCCACAAGGTCATCCAGCATCTTCTTACGTCTTCTTCCTTGTCTTCTGGTTCGCATACATGGTGTCTGTTTTTGGAAAGAGACTATCCAGGAAAAGTGATAATGTGGTAGTTTTTCCATTTGCTTTCCACATTGCAGTACAACAGCCGTCCAAACCACTCTGGTCACGCCTGTTGCTATACGAACTTGAACCATCTCGAGCATCATTTGCTCTTTGCTTCAAGTCGCTGCTGATGATGCTGCTTCCAGCATGAGTTTTTGGTTTTGGTGTCTCTCTTCGTCTGATGCCTACCCTTTGACCTGTCCAGCAAGGGAGGCCCTGCCAGTAGCTATGCTACTGCTAGTATAGCTCCCAGGGTCCTTGGCATACTCAAACCCCCTCACCATGATAAGGTGGAGACACAAATGAGGGGGCTAGTAAACTTAACCATTAAATAAATCTACAGTAATTATTTAATTTATTAGCAACATCTGCTGGTGGTAGTCATAATTAGTACTGCATTTACATGTTATATCAGCTGATTAAATATCACATCTAACACATGCAGCAGAGTTTTTCCCTAAGAAGCGAGTAATTGTTCAAATAGTCAAGAAATTTCCAGCGTCTTATGGAACTTGAATGTTCTTTACTCTGTTCACAGGAGCCCATTATTGTCCCTGTCCAGAATCAGATGAATCCTGTCCACATCCTCTCACCCATTTTGTTGATGATCCAGTTTAATATTATCCTCCTCTCTGTGGCTGTCTCTTGCAAATAGTCCGTTCCTTTCAGGTTGTCTGACTGAAATCGTGGATGCAGTTATGTTCTTTCCCGTGTATGCTACATGCTCTACTTTCTTGACCTCTTTTATATGATCATCCTATTATTGTATAATACAAATTCCGATTTTTCACTTTAGGATTAAATTGTATATTAATTATTGTTTGAAGTGTAAAATAATACATTTCACATTGGCCTACCTGGTAGGCTGGTAGGTGACTGGATCCATATTCATTGTATAGAGTGCATGTATGTAGTTAAGGTTCCTCTTTGCTTGCCTGAAGCTAGCCGACATTCTAGTTAATGTGTTTGTGATAATGTCTGCTCTGAGTTTAATTCCCATCTCCGTGAACTACAGCAGAGTTGGGCAGTTTCCTGGTTCTCTAAAGAAATGAGGTGTAAGTTCAGAGTTTCTGGAAAACCATGGTGATGTTATGCATGATAATATTTCTGAAGGCTATTGTAATTTCCTGCAAGAGTAATAAAATTGAATGGTGTTCGTTTGAATATATGCAACTAACCAGGTAAATGTGGGCACAGATTAGAGGAATTTAAGTTGTGTTAGTGTAAGGGGTGTATGTTAAAGAATGAACGTTGACCCCATTCATTGTGCATACTGAGGATTGTGTTGCATGTTTGCAGGGTAACTGGACTATCAAGAGATTCAAAATGGAGCGACATGGTGTGACACAGGTTCTGTCAAGACTTTCATACATCTCAGCCCTGGGGATGATGACCCGTGTAAATTCACAATTTGAAAAGACAAGGAAAGTGTCTGGCCCTAGATCTCTGCAGCCGTCACAGTGGGGAATGCTGTGTCCCTCCGACACCCCTGAAGGAGAGGTGGGTAGGCACTGCAGCATGCAGGAATGTCATTACTTGTTACACATCTATATGTATGAAGTTGCAAGTTTTCAGTTCAGCTGCTACTTGTTCAGAAAGCACTTTTCAATGACAGATGGAGACTGTGTACACAGTTGAGCAGTAAGTGATTTAAAGCTGGAATTCAGTTAATTTTCTTCTAATAGAGCTTGACCCTTGTAGTACCAAATTTGATTAAATGGAGAACGAAATAATAGCCATCAGTATTTTGCAAATTGTTCCCATTGTAATCAGTAAGTGCAAATGCATACCTAACATACAAAAATCTGAATTATGAGGTTAATCTACAGCAAGCGCTCCTGCTTCTGATCACAAGCTTTCTTGGATTCAAGGTCATATATAACACTGCAGTATATACAGTATAAAATAGAAAACTTACAGCAGACGATTTTCCTGTGCAGCTTTAATGCCTTTAGAGTTGTCATAGAAGCCTGATTTGCATATGTCATTAGATAGAGAAGTAAATTGTATTTGTTTTGTTTTGCATCATCAATACAATTTGCATTGAAGCCTGTCATACTGTTTGACGGTACAGAGCCTCTGCATTTGTTCCAGGGACAGAAAGGAAGTTGCAGGTTAATTGATCAGGTCATTTACTTTAATTTAAAGTTGCATTTTTGGCTTCTTGTGTTAGGCATGTGGGCTTGTAAAGAACTTGGCTTTGATGACACACATCACCACAGAAGTTGAAGAAGCGCCCATTATCCGTCTTGCCTTCAACATTGGAGTGGAAGATGTGAATCTCCTAGGGGGAGAAGAAATCAATAGTTTTCAAGTGTACATGGTGTTTCTTAATGGTAAGAAAATGAGACCCATATAATCTACAAGTAGATTAAGATGAAATGTCTGTATATTAGTTACTGTAGGATTCTGACGATGGTGTACAACACATAGAGATATTGGGTTTTCGGCCTTTATCGACGATAGGTCCAGTGATTGAGGCTAGCTCTTTCTAAGGGACCCAACAGAATAGGTGTTTTCTCTAACCTGAGGATGGAAGCAGATCCAGTTTCCGAAACGTCGTGTTTTTCTTAGTTATCTTAAAACTAGGACAATGGATAAAGTCCGAAAACCCAATATCCCTGTGTGTCTGTATATTATTAGAAATCATATTATATCATCAATTAACAAACCAAATGTCTGTTTTAACATAAAATTTCTGCTCTGTATATGGAGAATGGGGAACATTTTATTCATTTTTTTTTATTTCACTACATCAGCTACTCTCTCAGAATACTCTCCCGTAGGTTTCATATTTACATGGTCGCATTTAACATTGTAAAATCTGGTGATGGTTACAATAGCGGACAGTGTCTGTTTTGCTGCTGTAGACACTCATACTCTTTGTATCTTCTGTGTTATTGATCATCTACTTAATGATGGTTTTGTAAAACCCAAACATGTAGTGGAGTAAGTACTGAACAGTATGTTGTTTTGTCTTGCTGATGTGTACATAGAAACTCTGTTCGCAAATGGAGTAAGAGCACTTTAACTGAACATCACTGCTAAAGGAGTAGCACATTCATATTCACAAGGGCACAGGTTAAAATTTTGGCCTAGAGACCAGCTGCCCTGCTGAAGGTTCCTTGTGGTTTTCCCCAGTCCCTACATCAGTTTCTGGGATAGTATCTCAAATTAGGCCATGACCACTTCCTTTCACATCTTTTCTGGTTTATTATTCATAAAGAAATCTGTTCAGAAAAGGGGATATGGTGCAGTTACTGGTGTGGCTGTTTGAATTCTTACAGGTAACATATTGGGTGTCATCAGAGATTATCAGCGCCTTGTACGAATATTTCGGATGATGAGGCGCAGTGGTTACATTAATGGGTTTATCTCCATTTATGCACAGCACCAGCACAGATGTGTCTATATCAGTTCAGATGGTGGCAGGCTTTGTAGGTAGGTTCTTCTGGAAAACGGGAAACATTGAAATATGAACATCCATGTTTCCTTAATTAGATCTGAAGTAAAACTTCATAAGGCTTGCTGCTGGAATAATAAGCCGCCTAGTCTAACAAATTTAACAGAACAGATAATATTTTATTATCTTGCTCTGAGGATGGCCACAAGATGTCGGAATGTATAAGGCTAGACATCTTCTTTGATATATTCTATTAAATTTGTTACACTGGCCAGCTAATTATTCCAATAATTAGTGAAGTGTAACAGCAAAGATGTCACATAGTTCATAAGGCTTTTTGATCTGTATTCTTAGCTTTAGTAACCCCATTCCTTGTTTAGTAGATTTGCATTGGCCATCAGGTACTGGTGTTAGAAACTGTAATTTATTCATAACTTAGTCATTTTTGTGGATATTCTGATAGTAGAATGATATTTTATGGATGTTTCATAAAGTTTTACTTTTAAGGAGAACCACAGTTGTCATCAATAGTATGAATGATGTGTATGACTTTTCCCCTAAGACTGTAAACATTGGCTGATGTAAGGGAATAATAGCAGAAAAGTGGAGTGTCAGTGTAGAGTGATTTACCTGATGATGGCCATAAATGGCTGAAAACATGCTGCAAAGTAAAAACAATATAAATTTATTCAATTTATGCAGGAATTTTGTCAACAGGACACAACATAACACTCAGATAACAATATTATGTACATGAAGGAAATTTAACACTAACCTTAATGACTTGGGATTATTGTAATTGAATGTTAAATGAGGGAAAATATCAAATTGAGAACATTAGATAAGATTCCATTGTATAAATAAGTTATTATAATTTATGATACGTGTAGGGACACGGAGATCTTCCGCATATGTTGCTTGTATTGTTTGCAGTAAAAATTGTTTACCCTTGTTCCCTGTTAGTTGTTGATGTTGTACTCCAAACCAAATGTATTATAGTCCAACTTACTTAATGTGTGGTGTAAATATTTAGCTAAATATGAGTGGATGATGAATTTCTACATGACTCTTCACTTTAAGAAACATTAAAATGAGTGAAATATTTTTAATTTTAAGGAATTATTTTTACCATTCTAATACCCATTAGAATTTTCATTTACAACAATGAATGTACGTGGTTCATAGTTCATAGTTCATATAGGAATCATAATAAAAATAAATGATTTACAATTTAACCATAGGTCAGGGTCTGTTATTCAGTACATGTGCACTTGGTCAGCTTTTCTATCTTCTCGCATGGCCAGCAGGAGTTCCATTATCTGCTGCATTTCCATTTTATATCAGTGAGGTACTCGATGCACAATAATTAGTGTGTGGCGCGTGTTAAAGTTCGAAGTCACTTCTGACACCAGTGTTGCGTGTTTTGTGTGTCACGCTACAAATAAGTTGACGCCGTCGTCTGATATATAGCGAATTTATTTCCTTCGCTCATTTACACACACTTTGCAGGCATTTACACTTGCAGTGTTACAATCACTGCTCACAATATTCCGGCGAGACTGAACTGTCCCCTCTGGCGGATATTCCGAGACTCCTTCTTTGAAGACTGATCCGAGACTGAAGGCTTCTCATCGAAGCTGGCCTATTTATACCCTCGCCGCTGCTAGGCAAATGGACCTTCTGTTATAACCATGGAGACGTTGCTTTGTTTGTCGTTACCATGGAGATTCGATGTTCTCGATACAACAGCTCACTGTTGGAATTACAGTATCGCTATTGTTACTTCTTATGCAACGGTCTGTTCTAGCGTTTCCATAGAAGTGACTTCTGGATTCCAGACACGTTACAGTATTTTAGGTATTGCTACAAACCATTTGAATTTCATGCCTGATACAAGTTACAGGATCAATCAGTATTAACACCTTCAGTTGAAGAGTTATATTTTCTGAGGGTGACAGCATGTAGTCCGTTGAAAGTCAGCTGACAGTTCAGAAGCATGTCATCTCTGTCTGCTGGCATATACTGCTTCATGCCAGTCTCTTGCTTGGCATACCCTTCAGCCCTGAAGAGGGAGGCAACATGTTGCTCCGAAATGTCAGTTTACTTCCAACGGACTACATAGCATTATATCCCAGAAAGTAAAAGCACTGTTGTGAGAACCTGAATTACAAATGTATTCTGGAGAACATTTTTTTCTGTTAATGAGAGTGAAGATTAATATTTTTTCTGTCTTGGTCATTAGTGATTAGTGTTCACATCTGCCTAGTAATAGTTATATATCCTGTTTACAGGCCTTACATTATAGTGGACAAGGGAAAGCCTTTGGTGAAGCAACAGCACATCCATGAGTTAATGCAAGGAGTCAGGAACTTTCAGGACTTCCTTAATGAAGGTAAAGCAAATTATCATACATTTATGCCCATTGCTAGGTAACGGCTTAGTAAATGCATTTCCGCAACACATGCGCACACAACAGTAGGACTTCTGTTGCTAGGTAATTGAGCGGTAAATGTGCCTTTGCAACCATAGAGGAAGCGATGTTATCTATGTGGTCTGCAACACACATTCTGACATATGACACATGTTTTCTATAGTTCGTTCCAAGTCTGTATAATGAGAGTGTATAGCTAGGAGTAGATTGAAGAATTAGCACTAGAGAAGTGGGTCGAGTTCTGGACGGTCAGCAATCCAAAGTGATTGAACAAGACTGCATAGTGATTTGAAGTGATGGTTCCTGGGATGAATCTGTTGCCAGGAGATGACCAGTGAAGGCTGAGAACACTAGCGCGTGCAACAGTGAGCTGGTGATAGTGCTATAATTGCCTGTAGTTCTGAACTGTGTAAATGTATACCTGTCAATGAATCCAACCCAGAGCCTATTATTATTCATTGTGGAACCGCAGACATGTGACAATATGGACTATGCCCTAATAGTGTTATAGATACGTTTAATTGTAAACTGCATTTACAACATTGGTATTACTTTGAAGCATACTGGTATGGCTCGGAGTTCACAAACAAGATGAAATGTAGTTACTATAGGATTCTGACGATGGTGTATAACACATAGAGATATTGGGTTTTCGAACTTCATCCATCGTCCTGGTTTTAAGATAACTAAGAAGAACACAACATTTCGAAAAATGGATCTGTTTCCATCCTCAGGTGAAGGAAAACACGTATTCAGTTGGGTCCCTTAGAGAGGGAAAGTCTCTAGTTCCAATAATTNGGAAAACGCGTTTTCAGTTGGGTCCCTTAGAGAGGGAAAGTCTCTAGTTCCAATAATTAAGACTGACTCTTTCTGATGACACCAAGTGGTTAGGAACGTTTCCTCCCCTATGCCTGATCCTGGAAAGAGAACAGGTTTCTGGAACATCACGTTTGAAAGTCCTTATGGTGATAGACATTTTCCAAAGTAACAGTCATGTTTAAAGTCAGTGGATGGGAAAGGAGCTCTAATAATTAAATAATTACATTGTAAGAGTTTTGTACTAACTGCAACTTCTACTGATTTTTGTTGGCAGGTTTGATTGAATATCTGGACGTTAATGAAGAGAACGATAGTCACATCGCTCTGAATGAGTCATACATTGATCCTCAGATGACTACACATCTTGAGATTGAGCCCTTCACACTGCTGGGAGTGTGTGCTGGATTAGTGCCCTATCCACACCATAACCAGAGTCCTAGGAACACGTACCAGTGTGCTATGGGGAAACAAGCTATGGGTATGATCAAGTATATGCACACTAATTTTTTATTATGTGTTTTATTATACTCATAAGTCAACAATTATGAATGTGGCAGTGGTTTGAAATTATGAGGTTATGTCCAACAGATTAGCTGCTGCTGCTGACTACTACTAATATGATCATTCATTGTCAGTAACATTTATAATTACAAACATTAAAATCAAATATACTTTGCTAGAATTCAGTCTCCACATGAGTACAGCATGCTCTCCCATGAACTAAATTATAGTTTATTTTTAGATTATAAATTTACATTATCTAAATATGAGAACAACAGAAACTTTGTAGAACTGTCACCTCTGCAGTAGGGATGCTGTCTCGAGTTATGCCCAGAACTCCTTGGTTAATTTTCCAAAACTTAGCCCTTTACAACAATAAAGTACACCATGCTTATTAGTGATTTTAATACTTATTTTTAAGTATCATTGTCATTAATTTAATACACGTGTAGTGTAACATGAAGATTTTATATACAGTTATGCTACTATATACTATTTATAAGGAAGTATGTGTTTTGTTGCCGGTCATGGTAGCCGAGCGGTCTAAGGCGTGCACTGTCTTTGCTCGCTCGGAAGCCGGGATCGTGGGTTCAAATCCCACTCAGGGCATGGATGTTTGTGTTCGTTTTTCTGTGTTTGTCTACAGGTAGAGGCCTTGCGACGAGCTGATCACTCGCCTAAGGAGTCCTACCGCATGTGTGAGATCTAGTAAACCGAAGTGAAACGGAGAGTTTCATGGAGGTAGGCCTAGGCCCAAATTGGGGCTGTAGCGCCACAGAAAAAAAAATGTGTTTTGTTAATCTACAACAAACCTGCATGTCCTTTTTTTTTTTTTATTATTTAGGAGCAATTGGGTACAACCAGAGAAATCGTATTGACACACTGATGTACAATATTGTATATCCTCAAGCACCAATGGTTAAGTCTCGCACCATAGAGCTGATTAATTTTGATAAGTTGCCAGCCGGCCAGAATGCAACCGTGGCTGTGATGAGTTACAGTGGTTATGACATTGAAGATGCGCTCATATTGAACAAAGCATCCATTGACAGAGGTAAGTGCATAAAATATGATATGTTTTCATGTGTACCCATAGTTCACAGTTGCCATATCTTATAACCATCAGTGCTGTTTCCTGACAGTGTATAGTAATGTCTCTTATTCTCCGGTCTTGCTGCACAGTCTATTGCAAATGATTCCTAACCACATGAAGACTTCCAAAAATGGCACCCTACTGCCCTTACAGCTACATTTTGATGGCAGCAAGTCCATGCTGTTGTAGTATGGTTACAGAAAAGAGCTTGATTTTATATTTTCTTTGGTATAACAAGCCGGAAGGTTCAAATCCCGATGAGATCATTGCATTTTTTTCAATTGACCTATTATTTTTGTTTTTTGCGCTACAGTCAAAAGAGCAAACCAATGTTTAAAACGTTTTGGGAGGTAAGTAATGATCCTGGTGCAGAAACATGAAAAGCTCATGCCTAAGATAGGAACATTGACACAGATATACTTTCTATGATATGGAGGCTGTCTTCTTTTGTTAATGTTTTTAACAGATTATTAACAAATATGTTATTTCATGTGCAGGCTATGGCCGTTGTTTGGTGTACCGTAATGCGAAGACCACATTAAAGAGATACGCCAATCAGACCTATGATCGCATACTTGGGCCTCTTGTTGATGCTGAGACCAAGAAGCCCACATGGAAGCATGACATCCTTGATGCAGATGGCATTGCTGCTCCGGGTGAAAAGGCAGAAAATCGACAAGTATGAATAGTATAATTAGTTTATTGTCTTTATGATCAGGAAGATGTTTGTTCTGCTGTTTTAAATAGAGACATATTTCTGTTGGTACCAGTTTACATCAAACAAGATGTTCTACAAATATTGATTTGGTCATCCTGAGGACATATTGGTTCTGTATTGGTAGATAGTTGTAACAGCATTTGTTGAAGTAAATTATTTTCTTCCTAGTTCACTTTGTTGTTATACAGTGTGTATCCAGCCAATGATCTCATTGGTTTTATTTCTGCAGCTGTTGTCACCAATACGAATGTTGGGATAGCCCTTGCTTTATAACATTTTAGAACCTTATCTTTTCTAATCTTTCTTGATATCTTTTGTTTTGTTGTACTTTAGATCTTTTAAAATCTTATGTTGTTTGATGCTGACATTATTAGACTAATTATAGAATATAATCTAGCACAAATAATTAAATGTTCCATTTGCAGTATTAGAGGTTCTTTCTCTTTGTAGATGTTTTTAAATTATGTTTTTATACAGTATTATTTAGACTGAAGTTTTCTGTCAATAATTTGTCTTCTGAATTAGTAGCTGCACGTTCTCTTTCACAAATGAGAGTGCATTCAGAGGAGTGTCTCCATTAAAATGGTTTATTTAGTTTGACCTGCCATTCTTCAATGACATCTTGTTTATGTGAATTGAATAAAATCGGTGATAAAGGTCACCAATGTGTAACTCATGTGAAATTTCTATAAAAATTTTGTTGTATCTGTATTCTGTATCAGTTTGTTCTGTTGTGTGCTTATAGAACCTTTGTATGATTCCTACTAGATGCAAAGGAATACCTTTCCTAGATAATATTTCCCAAAGTTTTGTCTTCCTCCCTTTTGGGTCTTGTTTTTTCAAATATTTCCTGCCAATACTTCAGTTGATTTCTTGTGGAACTCCAGGTGAGAGAGAGTTGGAAGTTACCGCTGCTAGTTTCAGCAGCTGTTTCTTCAAGTGAAGTTGCACTAAAGAAAGTGTAAAAAATTTGTGTGGAAAAAACAGGAAATTTCCCCTATTCAGGCAGTTTATAACCAAATGAATCCTAGAATGGTATCATGTAGAAATCATGGTCATTTCCATCCCAGAGAGTCCAAATCGTCGTCATTATTATTATCATCATCATCATCTCCGTTGTTGTAATTACCACCAATGTCACTGCCTACCTTTGCATTTGCCTGACTGTTACTAGAATTACAACAACTGTCACTGAAATCACGCCAACATATTTTGGCATCAGGATCAGTACGATGAAATATATCAATGTCAGGATCATGACTTCACTGGAAGACGCCATTGAGATATAACTGTAGAGAAAAGTATATGCAGACCCTTTGAAAAATCTGTTATAAAAGTGACAAACACTTCTCTCTGCTTGGCTGCCATGGCTGCAAGTAAATGATAAACTAAAAATCTCAGTGGTGTGGTTGTTGCTTAATGGTAATCATTTTGCTAGTGAAAAGTGACTGTGGTGTTAGGAATGGAACTTGGATACATGTACAGATGCCACCGTATGGAGCGAAGTGGTTGAGACTTGGACTTCCCAGTGTCACTGCTTCTGTCCCGTGGCCTTCACTAAGAGGCATCTGCTAATTAGCAGTATAAATGGAAAGTTGGAGTCAGATGTGAAGTACAGCATGGGGCAGGAACAAAAAGAACTAATTCATGCAGTACTGGGAAAAAACACAAAAATATTAAAAATATTTTGCATCAAAGTCTTATGTTTGTTCTCCATTTCCATGTTATACATTTTCCAGTTTATTCCAGATAGATTTATACTGATGTTTGTGCTAAATTCATGGGAGCCAAAAGAAATTTTTGTTATGGGCAGTTTTCCTTTTAATACAGGGTTTTGTCTCCATTTTGTATGTAAAGTACGGGCTACTGAACTTTTCAGGCCCTCAGAGCAATGATTACTAATTTTTTAACTGAAGACGAAGACAGAGCCACCTTCTGAAAAATGTATGTTTTTGTACCGGAAGGAGACAGTGTTCAGAGAAAATCCTCCCTTGCGTGTAAGTATTTCCCTTCCCCTGTATAGATGAGTATCCTGTTACATGTGATCAGTATGGAGATTTCTGACTTTGTGTACTGAATTGATGTGCCACAGGTACTTGTAAACAAGTCCATGCCAACTGTAACTCTGAACCCAATCAATCCTCTTCAAGCCCAGCCTGAATACAGGGATGTGCCACAAGTGTACAAGGGTCCTGTACCTTCATACGTAGAGAAAGTGATGGTGTCATCTAATGCAGAGGATGCCTTCTTGATAAAGCTTCTGCTGAGGCAGACTCGCCGCCCAGAGATTGGAGACAAATTCAGTAGCCGACATGGACAGAAAGGAGTCACAGGTAGGTCTCGCCCTGACGTCCTAACCTCTTGTTAACTTCCAGTCACTCACCACTCAACCACACCATCCACCTGTAAGTATTCTAGTCCTTCCAACCTCACCTTCATTTTCCAGCTTAATATCCAAATGCAAAACGTATCTCTGCCCATACTGGCTTTCTTTCATGGGCCATACCAGTCTCCACTAATCAGAACCAGTATTAAGTCTAATCTCAGTTATGAAGGGACTGCTCTGAAGGGGACACGAACCATTAGTTAATAATTTGTATTTTTTGTTTGTGGTTTTCTTTTTTTTTTGCAGACAGTCTCAGAACTTTATGGGCAAAGGTTGTGTATATATATGCATGCTAACTTTCCCTTGGATATCTTGCATTTTTGCAAGCGTATGCACTCAAATTTTATGTTTACATAATTTTGTTTTGCAGGCCTGATAGTGGAACAGGAAGACATGCCTTTTAATGACCAAGGAATTTGTCCTGACATGATTATGAACCCTCATGGCTTTCCTTCACGTATGACAGTGGGGAAACTGATAGAGCTGTTAGCCGGCAAGGCTGGTTTGCTTGAGGGCAAGTTTCATTATGGCACTGGTAGGTAATAATGTGAAAGATCGTAAATGAATAGGACTTCTTTGTTACCTTCGGTGTTCTACTTTTTTTTATCCTGTTTTCAGAAACTCATAGTGCAGCCTAGGGTCACGACATGTCCATATTTTCATGTGACAGTCCTGAAAATGCACTAAGAATCTCGCATCCTGAAACTTGGTGGAAATGTTCCGCAATCAGTCGAATGAACTCTTTCTGCATCAAATCTAAACGGCAGCACTGTTTAGCTGCCACAGTGAGTGCACACTGGAAACTGCAGGCTCTCCCCCCCCACTCCACATTACTAGTTTACTGGCCGTTGTTACTACTGTTACTACTCTACGTTCCCTGGCAGTGAGCAAGCTAAAATTAACCTTGCTCTAGTTTTAAGCTAGATTTTGCGTGTCTTTTTTAAGTTGTGTAATCATTTGACATTTAAGTTTTTACCATTATGTTAGTTCTTACAGGTCAGTGTCATTCTTTCAGAGAAACCTAAGTGAATATGTGTTTTCATAACGAATGGTTAGTAAAATATGTGCTGTTGACACAACTACTTGACGATAACTCAAGGGAATTGTGCAAGGTATATAATAAGTTATTTACCATGTCTCATGAAGAAGAAAATGATATTAAAAAGCATGCTTGTGGAAAACAGACAATGTTTCCATAACAAAGTTGATCAAAATCAGTTGGTATCTACATTTATAACAACTGGCGGAGACAGTAACGCCAATAAAATTATGGCTTCTGAGCTTGCTTAGATATATCATGTTGTAAAGCATGAGTGTTCCTACAGGTCACTTGACTGTGCAATGAAATTAAATGCTTCTGTATTTAATGACAAAATTTCAGAAAAGAATCTTTGTGGCTATTCAAAATCTGAAGCAATCATAACTGAAGTGTTAGTACCAGCTTCTGTAATGGAAATCATAAATAGACGAAATTTAAATATGCTTCAAAGATATGCTAACATGCTTCATTTTTATTCTGTGGTAAGTGACACTTCAAACCATGGTCATACCAGCCTATTCCCAAATGCGTTAAAGTACTGGACACCAAAACTTGGTCCTAGATCTTTATGATAGGTTGCATGAGATGTCAGCTGGGATATCTCAACAAATTTGAAGAGACTCTTGGAAAATTCATTAAGCATTGATAATTGCTGCAGAGACTATGGTAGTGTTTATTTTACAGAACACAGTTCCGTTTTCCAGAAATTAAAACTAAACCCATATATTCAGGGTGCTAATTGTCTTGCACATATTTTGCAAAACTGTACCGAACAAACCAGTGACAAACTGCAGATTGATATTGAAAGTCTTGTTGTAAAGGTATTTGTTCACTTTTCTTCTTCTGCAAAACACACTGAAGAGCTGAAAACAATATTTGACTTTTGTGGTGACGACTACAAAAGAATTTATTGCGTCATGTGGAAACCAAATGTCAAAGTTGCTCACAGTTTTAGTATATTAAGACATACTGCCTTGTAATTCCTGTATGAAGATTGCACTAGTTAATGCATATTAGCATATTTAACAGGGAATTCTGGCAAAACACTTTTAGACTGTAATATTGCTGGAGCTGGGATAGCACGGTCAGTATAGTGACTGACTGTGGGCTGGACGACGTAGGGTCAGAGTTTGAGTCCCAGTAGGGGCAAGATTTTTCTCTTCTCTACATCATCCATATTGGTTCTGGGGCCCACCAAGCCTCCTGTCCAATGACTAACAAGGGCTCTTTCCCTGGGGGTAAGGCAGCAGGGGTGTGAAGCTGACCACTCACCCCCAACTAATACCAAATTCAAGAACATGTCGATCTGTATGTCCACTCCTCCAAATGTCTTCATGGCATAGTGCTTACTTAGTTGAGCACTGGAACAACTTTACCGTTTTACTTTAATACTGCTTTATGAATAAAAATCTGTTGTTTTGAAAGTTAGTTCAGTGTATCCTGTGATGATATCTTTGTGTAGCTTTTGGTGGATCCAAAGTGGCTGATGTGTGTGAAGAATTGGTTCGTCATGGCTTCAATTATCAAGGAAAGGACTTCTTCTACTCAGGAATTACTGGAGAGCCATTACAAGCCTACATCTATTCTGGGCCAGTAAGTTCAGGTTACATTGCTATGTCTATGTAGAAACATATTCCTTGGCCTCAATAAATTGAGTGTAGAAGTTCCAGTTTAGGTCACTTTAACCATTTTACTGGCAAGTAATTAGTGCCTAGCCATTACCTCTACGCTGAGTTAGTTTTGTTATTTTCCTTAATAATGGAAATAAGAGAAATCACATGTAAATCAAACTAACACATACTGATTCTTACCTCATATTATGAAGATGTTTTGGGGATATTTGTGAATATAATTTTTACTGCCCTTTTGATGACCAAGATTATAAATAGAATATCTCTACTGCTAGATGCTGCAATTTCTGAATCCTTCTCCAGATGGCATACAGATGCAGCTGAGGGTCTGACTTCAAGTTCATGAACATGTGTACTAGTTTCAGTTCACTGAAAAAGTTGGTTTTTTGAAGTTAAATTTCTGTAGCATAGTAGATGCCTGTAACTTTGCAGGCTGAACAGTGCGAAGATTAAATTTTTGTATATGGTAAGTAATCAGATGTCTGGCCCAGATAATTTTATTTAGAGAGCTGTTTTTTTATGGAAAAATTAAGTGATGGGTACAAAGATGGAAATGCTTATAGATTTGCTGTTTATCAGTTTCTTCATTCTTCACACACTGCCTCACTTATAGTTCACATATAAGTGGTTTGTCATTGAATGTTGAAGTCTTTTGCTAAAGAAATATTTGGTGCAAATTTTACTGTAAATGTGCATTATGTTATTTTCTGGAATACATTAAACTCTATCATGGATCAGTGACTGGACACAGGTTTCACCTTAGTAATCAGATTCGTTGACCACTTATTACTTTTAACTACAGATAGTTAACAAGTACAATAATACATAGCAGAAGAATGAAAACAGGAGTGTTACTCAGAATGGAATATGTTCTAACTTTTCAGTTATTTATTTTCAGGTTTACTATCAGAAATTAAAGCACATGGTCCAGGACAAAATGCATGCCAGGCCCCGGGGCCCAAGAGCCGTTCTAACAAGGCAACCAACAGAAGGCCGGAGCAGGGAAGGAGGTCTGCGTCTTGGCGAGATGGAACGTGACTGTCTGATTGGTTATGGAGCGAGGTGAGGACTCCTCTTTTGCCAGTTTATTCTTCCCTCTATGTATTCTTTTTATTGTTAGTGGGGTGGGACTGAGGCCACTTCTGGCCTGTTGTACCAGCCCTAGATGATAGGTGAGGGTGATTGTGGAGCAATTGGCGGAATGAAGATTGGCAGGGGAAACCGAAGTACTCGGAGAAAACCTGCCCCAGTGCCACTTTGTCCACCACAAATCCCACTTGACCAAACCTGGGCCGTCGCGGTGGGAAGCCAGCGACTAACCGCTTGAGCTATGGTGCGGCCTTGTAGAGAAGTTACTAATGCATTTTAACATGAATTATAGTAGTTGGCCAACTTAAGAGGTGGCCGTCTTCACAGGTTTCACCAAACTAACATGCTTGAAACTTATTGCAGTATGATGCTTGTGGAGAGACTGATGATTTCCAGTGATGCATTCAATGTGGATGTATGCAATCAGTGCGGGCTGCTGGCATACTCTGGCTGGTGAGTTGTACTGTTATTGATGGATAACCCAGGATGGTTGACATGTCCACAATCTACTATAGTTTTTGTCATAATTTTCTTGTTATGCCAGAGGACTCTTTCATATATTTAAAAATGTCAGCACAGATTTTAAACACTATATGAACCATTAAAATATTGATCTAATGTCCTAAGAAAAAAATGCATGGGAACATTAATCAATATTGTTAACTGCGTGTTTTAAATTTCACTGAATGCAGACACCAAAAATGTTAATTGTCAGTATTATTTTATTATGTACTGCTGCCCAGCAACTAATTCTCTGGATTCAGAGCAGCTAAAAACTGTTGTTCTCTTACTTCTGTATCAGCATGATGAGACTCTCTGTTCAGATTTGTGAGACTTGTCGTTTTCTGAAGTCCCAGTCCCTCAGACACAATGAACCACCATCTATAGTTGTAATACTTTTACAGCCACACATTTCTGTGTTTATTGCTAGGCAACGTATGAATAGTTCTGTGTTCTGTATCCTGTCAAAATGCCAGTTGACTTTCAATGGACTGCTTGATGTTGTATCCCAGAAGACAGAACCACCACTCTGAGAACTTCGGATCATTCAAAGTATGAATAATTGGTCCCTTGTCACAGTGGCCCAGTTTGCACTGTATATTTGCTCAGTTTCTTATGTTTATGTATTGTGATCTTGTTAGTAAAAAGTGGCCAGGGTCCAACAAAGGTCTGTAGAGTCACCGATGAAAGAATAAATAAATGAATGATCTTGTCACTATGATTTCTGTCAAGTTGTGCCTTCTGCTACAGAATACTTGTTGGAATGGTCAGAACTCACCACAGTGCTGAAAATATATAAGACTGTGAGATTAACCTTGTGTTTTATGTGAAATTATTCTGTTTCTCATTCATAACCTGCGGCTGAAAAAGATCAAATGAAAACTCGGAGATGAAAATATGTACGAGGGTCATACTGAAAGTCATGAGCAACAATTTTTTGTAAAGTAACATGCTTTAATATTGACAAACCAAATACACCACCTCAATCTACAGACCTTTCTTTATTTCTCCACATAATTGCCACTTCTTTGTACACATTTCTCCCAGTGTTCTGGGAGTTTGAAAATTCCCCTTCTGTAAAATTCCGTTCCAGCCATCCAGCTGCCTTTAAAGGTGTTGGAGGTGGGAACCTGTTCCACACTCTAGTCTCCATAACTGACCAGGGTGGTTCAGTGAAGTTCAGATGTGGTGATTATGCTTGCCATGGAAAATATTGAAGTTCACCTTCATGCTCTTCAAACCATGACTGAATAGTCTCAGTTGTGTGAATGGGAGCATTGTCATCTTGGAGAAATGCATTGTTGACTTAAAATAACCATACTCTCAGCTGCAAGTAAGAGTTAAGAGCAGCATTATGACAAACATAAAGGCCCCAATTGAATATATTATTTTCTTTTCCAGATGTACATGGGTGGAATTTTCAGTTTGATATAAAATGAAAGTTCATGTTCATTGTTACCACTGCATGAACTTAGATCCAACATTCATTACCTTTATCATCCTGAATATGATTTCAGGTGCCACAGTTGCAGGTCTAGTGGCTCTGTGTCAACCATCACCATACCATATGCTTGCAAACTTCTATTCCAGGAACTGCAGTCCATGAATATTGTACCAAGACTGACACTCAAGAATTACTGTGATTGAACATGACATGCAATTTGTATTTCCTCCTCTATCAGCTGTATGTGATAATTCCTAATAAAACAGTTGTACAGTGATATTAAATACCATACCATAATTTTGACTCCCATTTTCTTTCCATTGTGCATGATACACTTTCTGCAAATATTCTTGTAGCTTTTAATTTTATGACAGAGCTGTGCATAGTGGCAGTGGAAACGGTAGGTTGTTAAAAGTTCTGTTTCTTTGAATGAATAGGGCAGTTGCTTCACTCCAGTTCGTCTCTGTCGGTACAGGGCCCAGTCATAGGCTCCTGTGGACCATGTAATGAACCTTTTGTTTCATAAAAGGCAGGACATTTCTTCACAAGATGAGCTTCTCAATAAGCACTTCACTTCATGAAGTTAATTAGTCAGAAATTATTACTTTAAAACATGCAATTCACCAGTTATTGTTAGGTCTTTAATCAAATAAAGGTGAAGAAGACGGGCAAGGCATTTACCATACATTGGATTGATGAGACAAAAATACAGAATTGGTCATAAAACTTGAAGGGATGAAGCCATTTGGAAGACCTAAGAGTTGATGGGAAGCTAATGTCAAAAGTGGATCTTACAGAAGTAAGAAGGGAAAGTGTGAACTTGATTCATCTGTCTTAAGTGAAGAGACCAGATGTGAGGTCTCCTAAGAGTGGAATGAAGTTTTGTTCCATAAAAGATGGGAAATTTGAGACAAGCTGAACTACTCAAGGGGCACTTTGCTTAAATGACGGAGTAAGCACCACTACAGTACAAGAGGTGAGGGTTGCAAAAGTATGTATAGCTATTGTGGGCGTAGGGGTTGTTAGCCTACCTTCTTACCGATCGTGCTCTCGGCATTGGCATATTTTGTGACAACATATTTGCAGTTGAATGTAGAGGCCGCAAGAATGGTTTCGTGACGTAACGGTGTCAGTATTGCCCGCCAGTAGCATTTTATTGTCTTGTTGAGATCCGTGTGTTTGTGAGTGTTACCGTACATGTTGGCTGCAGTTATTTACGTTTAAGGAGATTCGTATATTAACTTTCTTATTAATAATCTGCGGTATTATTTTAAAGGGTATCTGCCGAAATAACAATTGTGTCTTTGCCTAACAATATCTATAAATGGCCGTGCAATTTCCACTATGCCCAGCATCACTAAAGACTATCCAACATTATTTAAAAACAGCATCTGAGCATGATCAACGAGATCCAGTTATTAGTTACTGGTGTAAGTATTATATGAAAATACTGGTCATGGGGGTATTATGTACAGAAATACTCGCCGAAGTGTAATCCACAATACAGAACATTCATGAATGTTTATTCATCTGACATACACTTCTGCTTTGGCAGTTCCCACTCGTGCATATTACTTCCCGTAAATATTTAACGGCAGTTTCTGTATCGAGACTATATAGTGTCGGGAATATTCGCTAATTGGACTGTGTCTTTTCGCAGAATATTATAAGATAATTTATCAAGTGCATTGTCTTCATGTGCTGTAATAAGACGATATATTACCACAGGCTAGAAAGATTGCCTTGTAGATACAAGGGTATAAAAAAAGGTAAAGTTGCACCTGTATTTAACTCATTAAGCATTATGCCATCAAATGGGTGTATAGATCGATGTATTCATGACCTAGTTTTAATTGGAGGTGAGTGGTTAGCNGAACTGGCTTTTTCAACATGGAGAGGAGAAACATCTTGTCCCTACTGGAACTTGAACTCCAACCCTTCAGCTATCTAGCCTTTGACCAGTCACTGTACTGACCGCGCTGTCCTGGCCCACATGGATGGGACAAGTGTGCTAAATTTTGTGCATGTGGATTAAATTATCATTGGCTCCCAGTAAGTAAATTATACTTAAATTTAGTAATTAAGAAATCTTAACTCCATTTAGCAGAGTCCTTTAGAAACTAAGATGGTTGATCAGCTAGTCAAGAAATTTGTTGCCTTTTATGCTACCTGAAAGTTCATTGCTGTGCTTACAGGAGCTTGCGACTGTACCCTGCTTGAGCCATGTGATTCCAGTTTTCATCCTTACATCCTCTTTCTTCCAATCCATGTTATTATTATCCTTCTATCTGTCTGCATCACCAAAATAGTCTCCTGTCATAGGATTTCAAACTTTTGGCCCAGGAAATTATGCCAAGTGTCACCTCAGTAGTGTGAGGAGGGTGAGAGGTTCAGCATGACTGTATGCTTATAGCAAAATCAAATGATCAGATAAAAACAACCTGGAATATAATAAAATATGAAACAGGAAAATCACATCTGACTGAACAGACACCATCTCTCCTTATAAATGGTGAAGAAGTTAAGGACCCAGGAGAAATTTCAGATGCCTTCAATCCTTTTTTCTAACAATTACAGAAAATCTGAACTTGCATCAAGAAGGGAGAGATAGTGCCATTTCATTTTAAGAGAGGCATTTCCTATAAAATTCCCACGGTATTGTTTACAGGAGTGAATAGGTGAAATTGTGCCTTTTAATTTACTTCTGCTTCATGAATACTGATGATCCAAACAATTACAGATTTCCAGTCTTGGTAGAGTACAGTATTATTATTATACAGTATTATTATACAGTATTATACAGTATTATGAAAAAGTATTTCATCTTGTATTCCTTATGCACCAGTGACCTAGTAGCTTCCCCAGACAGTGTCTCAATTAGTTCGTTTTGCTCTCTCTTGAATTATTAATCTCATCCTGTTATGGGAGACTGCCTCTGTGGTCTAGTGGTCAGAGTTCCTGGCTACAGATCCAGAGGTCTGGGTTGCGATTCACGGCGCTACCAGATTTTCTGAGAAGTTGTTGGTCTGGAACGTGATCCACTCAACCTTATGAGGATAATTGAGGAGCTATTTCAAGGATGTGGCGGCTCCAGTCTAGAAAATCAAAATTAACCGCCATGGGGATTCGTTGTGCTGATCACGCAGGTGGTAGCTCAGTCGGTATAGTTCGAATGCGGACTAAATCCACGGAGTTAGTTTGTTTGTTTTTTCCTGTTATGGGTCTTAGAGAAACAAACTTTCACCTCAAGAATTAGTTCCTTCATCTCTCCACAACAGTAAGATGGAAGCTGGAAGGGTCATAAGACTGAAGGTGGCTTGTCACATATAGAAGCAGAGGTGGAAGGAAACAACCAGGTTAATAATACATTTTTTCATATAGGTCGCCTTTATGCTCTCCAGATGGGACTGAAGATTGATCGGAAGTCAGATGAAGCAAAAGCACTTTTAACAAGTCTTATGAATTGGTTAGAAACACAGAAAAGGGCATTATTAGACAATGAAGCCATAACACATGAACTTGCAGCCCAAGCCCATATAGAAAATTATGCCTTAAAACTTTTTGTATATGCTGATAGCCAAGACAGAGCTGGAAACTTTGGAAAGTAAGTATTACTTATTAAGGTGCTCTTACAGTGAAAAACCATGTATGTCAACATGAGATGGTGTTTCGTTGTTTTATTATGTAAACAATATTCAATAAATTATCTACCTGTACATGAACTGAACCTCCAAAGATAATGCTTATTTTTAGATCCATTTTTTTTCTCTATGCCATAGGAATGTTGTGAAGGCCTTTTACACTTCTGGAATGTTGTTTGATGTCCTCACAACATTTGGAGAGTTGTCAGAAGAACTTCTTCAAAATAGAAAATATGCCAAATGGAAAGCTGCTTACATTCACAATTGTCTGAAAAATGGCGAGACGCCTGTTCCAGGTCCGCTACAGGAAGAAGATAAACTGGGTGATGGCTCCCAGAATCAAGAAGAAGATTCTGATCCTATGAGTTCTGGACTTCAAGGAGATTATAGAGGAACTGCTGGAACAAGTGGAATAGGTTAGGAATTGCAGTAACGTAGTAATTAATCCTTAAAGCTCCATGGAGCATAGACCTTCTTGAGAAGTTGATAGTCACTCAAATGGCCAAGGAAGTCTCTTGCCTTATGGAGTCTGAAGAATCCTAAATATTTTTTGGGATGTTTAATGATACAGAAACTGTTTCTTTTAAGCTGTATATTTAAGGAGAAGGGAAAAGCACACAGAATTTAGTTAGTTCAGAAAATCTGAAGGGAGACCATTTGAAACTTGGTCATTAATTTTTTTAATTCACTTAGTGGCGGGGGTGGGTGGGGGTTGGAGTCCAACTGGATCCACTTGGCACGGCAGCCACTGATTGGCCTATTGTAACCTGCCCCAGGTGATTATGATGATGGAGAATTTGGTGAATGAAGATTGCAGGGGAAACCGAAGTACTCGGAGAAAACCCGCCCCAGCGCCACTTTGTCCACCACATATCCCACTTGACCAGAACCAGGATCGAACCTTGGCCACCACGGTGGGAAGCCAGTGACTAACCGCTTGAGCTATGGTGCAAACTTGGTCATAGAGTGAATGATATTGATATTGTGCCATGTAATCCCGTTGCTAGGCGATGACTGTAAAATAATCAACTAGGCAGCAGCCTGTAAACAGAAACAGAGGAACAGTGTTTCAGAAAGTTAATAGAATTTTCCATCCAGTGTGGCAATAGAGGTCACATCACTTTTATTATTCTTGCCTTACATGTTTTGGTTCAATTAAAACCATCATCAGAGGAACTTTTCATACGGCAGGAGACTCTGTTATTCAAGCTGGTTTGATGTTCACTTTCAGTTGTGTTATTCAAGTAGTCGGAGTGTTATACTGATCACTCACCTCCATCTGGTGCCGAACATTGCTGCACTCCCTTCATGCACATACATGATATGCTGCTTTGTCACATCGGTAGCTTCACAGTGAACCTGTCTTTGATGAATAGGTTGCTCATCATAGATGAAAAGGACATGCACTAGAATCATTTATAAATGACCCACAATACCTGATGAGCCTTTTTTTCATGTAATATATATTTATTTTCTCTTGTCTTGATGAAATACATTTATAATAACTTACCAGTCATGTTATTAGTGCTTGAAAATATGAATCAGTTATCAGATGTGGTTAAGGTGAACAAGGTTCAGAACAGGTGTACAAAATATTATATTTTTTCCAGGTTTTGTACATCCTCAGAATCCCCCAAGTGGTTTTGATGCACCAATACCAGCTGCATCTAGTATGTATGCCCCCCCTACCACTCCAAGCCATACCCCTAGTTATCCTCATGGCTTCAGTCCGTATAACCCTCCAGCCACAGCTGCAGTACCAAATGATGGAGGAATTCATTCAGTATCTAGCTTTGGAAATGAAGGCTCAAGTTTGGAAGGTACTGTGTCACTTTATTAATGGTTTAAACTTAGAGAAAACGTTCAACTGCAGTGTGATGCATGCAGAGGAAGTAAAATTATTGGTTCATTTGCAACATTTGACAGCTACATGACAGTGGAGGTTGGTGAAATGGTGATATTCTATTGATATTTTGGTAACGTTTTAGTCAAATTATTAGTTGATTTGCATAATTTGGCAAGTCCAGGACTGAGAAGATTCGTGTGTTATTATTATTGTGCTTGGTGTTTTTATTAACATGCTAATCCTGTATATAGAAATTTTTCACATTTAATCTGGAATGGAACTAAGTAGGGTTTTCCTGTCTATTGAAGATGGAGGCTACATTTCCCTCCAGAATGTTGCTAAGCACCGCCGACACTACATAGTAATGCAACCCAGATCACAGTCCAAACTTCAACATACTGGTGTTGACTTAAATAATATTTCATACATAATGTGTAAGAATGTTTATAGTTTATTTTCATGTAAAATTTCATGTTCGTAACCCTAATGCATCATAGTTATAGGTGTTAAGTTGAAAGCCAAACTAAAATTTCACATGGCTGCCATGTTGTTGATTCGCTTTCTATGAATAACAAAATCCGTAATGAAAGTTTCATGTTTTTCAAAGATCTGTTACCATGATTGTTAGTTGGTATATCAGTGGGCTGTGGGCCGGATGGTTGGGGTTTGATTCCTGGTAGGTTTCTCTTGTCAGTAGCATGCAGACCATCTCTCGAGCCCACCTACCTTCCTCTCCAGTGGGTAATGGGGGGAATTTATTTGGGGTAGCAGCTGGGCATGAAGTTGACGGTGGACCTATACCTATACTCCCCCAGATGTCTTCATGGCGTAGTGGTTAATTAATTAGTTATCACAGGGACAACTTCACCCTTCTTTTTACCTCTTACGGTGCTTAATTTTAAGGCCCCGTATCAAGTGACACTAACATTGCTTCCACTTCACAGGTTTATGGTCTGCTGTGTTGGTATTACTGATTGTAGGAAGTTAAAGCATACAACGTTGGTGCAACCTCCATTGGAATAACGTTCATACCAATTTTTTTTAAATCAGTCATTTGATTCAAACGTTGAAGGAGCATGATTGTTTCATAAGCCTGTCACCCCATTAAGGAAAGCAGGTGGAAGAAGTACGATAATTGTGTATTATGGAAGGAGTAAGTGGCCTGTTTGTGGAAGATTCTGTATGTAAGAGTGAACCAATCAGTCAGTGATTCTTGTGTGGCCGCGCCATAGCTCAAGCAGCTAGTCGCTGGCTTCCCACCTCGTTGGCCTGGGTCAAGTGGGATTTGTGGTGGACAGAGTGGCACTAGGGCAGGTTTTCTTTGAGTACTTCAGTTTCCCCTGCCAATCTTCATTCCACCAAATTCTCCATCATCACAATCACCTGGGGTGGGTACAGTAGGCCAATCAGTGGCCGCCGTGCTGAGTGGACCCAGTTGGACTCCACCCCCCACTAAGCAAATTTAAAATATTTATAGTGATTCTGGTTCTTTTTATTATTGCAGGAGGAGTTAAACTGAACCCAGAACAAATGAACAAAGCCCAGAAATACTGTAAGTGGGCTGGCAGTGCACTCAACTATGATGATGTTCCCACGGCTATAACAAACTTGCAAAAAGCTTTAACATTGCTTCAAACTGGACAAGATGGTTGAACGTGTAACACATGATATACTGTACAGCATGGCATACTGTGTTATCAGCAGGTTTCATAAATAGTCCTGATGCTTTCACCTGTGTTCAGCACTAAGAAGATTTACTTTTTTATTTATGTTGTGTATATGCCAATATTATTTGTGGTGAGCATTTATTAACTTCAGGATATTTTCATCATTTACAGTGTTGAATATGTCAACTGTGAGAAGTATTTGAAGCAGTTCTCAGGGTGACACGTGATTGTGTATGTATGTATATATATATATGTCATACACTTTAGAAAGGAAACTGTAGGAGTTCATTTTGAATATTAAGTGAGTGGTCCTTAAAATAAACTAATGAAAACAAAACATACTAATTGTAATACTTGTGTAATACCAGAGCCATATATAAAATTTCAAGCATAATAATGAAAAATTCTTTGTTATACCATCAGTTTCCTACACAGTTGAAAGAATCTTGTTTCAATTTTAGGGTTGTTGCAGTTATTCATTGTCTGTACTCAGAGAATTATCTTAATTTATATTATCATGATTGTGGGGTTACCACAAGAAGGTGCATTTTGTATTACTGGGTGAGAGGCACTCTAACCCTTCAGGCAGCATAAGAAACCTTGTGTGTCTCCTGACAGAAGACTGTGGAAGCTGCGCGGACATAGTGTGTCTTGAGAGAAGTCTGTGGAAGCTGCACGGAGATAGTATGTGTTGAGAGAAGACTGTGGAAGCTGCGCGGAGATAGTGTGTGTTGAGAGAAGTCTGTGAAAGCTGCGTGGAGAGAGTGGGTATTGAGAGAACTCTGTGGAAGCTGCGCGGAGACAGTGTGTGTTGAGAGAAGTCTGTGGAAGCTGCTCGGAGACAGTGTGTGTTGAGAGAAGTCTGTGGAAGCTGCTCGGAGACAGTGTGTGTTGAGAGAAGTCTGTGGAAGCTGCGCGGAGACAGTGTGTGTTGAGAGAAGTCTGTGGAAGTTGTGCGCAGACACTGTGTGTTGAGAGAAGTCTGTGGAAGCTGCGCAGAGACAGTGTGTGTTGAGAGAAGTCTGTGGAAGCTGCGCGGAGATAGTGTGTGTTGAGAGAAGTCTGTGGAAGCTGCACGGAGAGAGTGTGTGTTGAGAGAAGTCCGTGTAAGCTGCGTGGAGAGAGTGTGCTGAGAGAAGTGTGTGGATGTTGCACGGAGAGAGTGTGTGCTGAGAGAAGTCTGTGGATGCTGCGCGTAGATAGTATGTGTTGAGAGAAGTCTGTGGAAGCTGCGCAAAGGTAGTGTGTGTTGAGAGACGTTTGTGGAAGTTGCGCGGAGAGAGTGTGTTGAGAGAAGTCTGTGGAAGCTGCGCTGGAGAGTGTGTGTTGAAAGAAGTGTGTGGAAACTGTGAGGAGAGAGTCTGTGATGAGAGAATTCTGTGGAAGTTGCGCGTAGATAGTGTGTGTTGAGAGAAGTCTCTAGAAGTTGCGCGTAGATAGTGTGTGTTGAGAGAAGTCTGTGGAAGCTGCGCGGAGAGAGTGTGTGCTGAGAGAAGTCTGTGGATGCTGCGCAGAGAGAGTGTGTGTTGAGAGAAGTCTGGAAGCTGCGCATAGGGAGTGTGTTGAGAGTAGTGTG